GATATTTCGTATTCATACAATTTACAAAGACAATATTTATACTCCGATATTAACATATTTGCGTATATTTCCGAAAAAATATGTAAAACCAAATAGCCCCCTGTTCTTTATTTAAAGCCCTCTTAAAGCTCTTTTAAAAACTATTTGTTTGAAACTTGTATATTTTTTGAAACGGAAGCTATAGGCAAAATCACTTAAATATTTTAAAAATTTCGTCAAATTTTCTTATTCATTTTCGACCCTTTACCCAATAGTATACGTCTCCTCATTTGCTGGTGAATCATATTGTATAAAGAAAGTTACAAAAATGTATTCTAAATCATAAGAAGTTTTCAAAATTATTTCTATCATGCAAAATACATATATGAAATTTTCATTGTACGGCATCAAATATGTTGAATCTTTTGAAGTTTTCACGAATCGCTGCACCAGATTCTTAAGTCGTTGCAATAATATTGCTGTTATGATTGAATTTCTACTTCATTAACATGGGCTTTTATATTAAATCAAATTAAAATCTAATAGAGTTAACTGGGATTTTGGTGGTTAAATATTCATTTGGGATCACTCCTCACCACCAGGAATGATTTTTTTCATAAAATTGTCCCATCTCACTGCCCCTGAGGGATTATACCGCAGCTTACAGAATCGCCCTGTATACATCTAAATCATATTGGGAGTAAATGTCGATATCTATCATATCATATCAGTAGTATTGAGCCGTCCATAAAAATTCTCATGGAAATTAGGCTTAGTGACTGACGAATTATACAGTTCTGCGGAGAAAATAAGGAATTGATATGAAATAAATAAACTATAATTTTGATAATTTATTTCAAAGTTCTTTTTTATTCAATTTTTCCTTTTTCTTTTTTTTTTTCTTTATTTATATTATAAAAATTAATTTTAACACATTTTATAATTTTTAATACAATAATTTCATATCTATATACCATAAAAACTTAACTGAAACTCATTTTTTCTTCATTTAAATTCTATTGTTATTATTATTATATTTTAAACTGTTATATTAATATTATTATATTTTAAACTGTTATATTATTATTTATTCCAATATTAATTCTGAAATTTTTTTTAATTAATTTTCTATTTATTTTTAAATAACTTGAAAATTTTTTGAATAAAAAATAATAAAACAAAATAGCTATATTGGACTATATTCATTATAAATTTTTACCGTTGAAGATATTTACATTTATGAAAGTATTTATGTATAACTATATATATCATGTATGTATGTATAACATTATAGATATTAATTTTATCAAATTTAAAAAATATTTAAGGAAATTAATTTTATTAATTTTCGATTTGATATCAACCTTTTTTTCTTATTTTTTTTCTATTTATAACAATTTTAAATTTAAAATCTTAATTTTCTTTTCGGTTTTCTCTTCCATATTAAATGAAATATTAAATATATAATTATAATATATGTATATATTTATATATATATATGTATTTGTTAATTTATTAAAATATAAATTTCATCTTATTTAAATCACATGTTGACGAACATTAAAATTATTATGATTTTTTTTACACTGTGAAAAAATTTGGAAAAAGAATGAAAGAAAAAAAAATTTAAAAGAAAAAGCAAAAAAATTTTTTAATTAATTATTAATAGAAATTTATAAAAAATACTTACTTTTAATAAAAAAAAAAATTTAAATACAAAAAAAAAAATATGTGAGCTTGCAAAGCTACATTAAGCCAAGCTATACTATAGAACAAACATTTTAATGTTGTGTAAAGTGTTTATAATTTTAAGTAAAAAAAAAACAATTAATATCAAATTAAAAATTTAGAATTTTTCATTTCTAATAGCCATCCAATTGAGAAGCAAATTTAGAAAAAAAAAAATATTTTTGTTTTTTTTTTTTGTTCCAAATGTTTTCTTACCTTTGCACAGCATTATTTTGTATAAAATTATTTTATTTTATAAATTTATAATTGAAATTGATTTTAAAACTTTTTCCAAAATAAATTATTTTCAATTCCTTTTTAATTTCCCGTGTATACCAATATGAGTATTTTGATATGAGTTTGTATGTATTATGTACGAGTATAATGCAAATTGAAAATATTTTTGAGTAATTGTAAGTAAATTTAATAAATTGTATTTTAATAAAATTTTATTTTAAATTTTACTAGGTATTACAGGTACATATAATTATGTGAAGCTATGATACAGGTATATAATGTTCAATGGGAATAATATTACGTTGAAAATAATTAAATTTAATTAAACAATTTGAAATTATAAATCAATAAAAAAAATCAAATAATAATTAATAAAATTTTGAGTTAAAAAATGTAGTTAAATTTTTTAAAATAAATTCAAATGAAAATAATTAAATCAAAATTTTTCCATATTCATTTTTTGATCGTAAATTCATTTTAATAAACAGTGACTTCCAAAACGCAATATAAAAAGTTTAAATACCGAAATTACATTTTGAAATCGCTGGATTGAATGTAACCTACCGCAACATTTTGAAAGATCAATGTAACGATAGAACAAGGAAAAACGATTCAGTCGGTCTTGTTTTTAAAATATGAAGACTTGTTTTTAAAATATATTGTATTACGTTTTATGGTTGTATTGCTGTTAGACCATTCTAAAGAAACTTCAAGAATATATCTGACCCATAATTGAAGCCATAAGAGCCTGGTTTCATGAATTAACATTATTATTTTTCTGAATATTTAAAATTAGTTTTTACAGTTATATGGCAGCTACCCAAACCTGTGAAGTCATTCCAAACAGAGTTTAAGAATATGTGCTACCTATAATTAGACACATAACTGCCAAATCTCAGGCACCTAACTCTATTATTTTTCCAAATATTTAAAATTGGTTTTGGGAGTTATGTGGCAGCTATCCGAACCTGTCAAGTTATTCCATAAAAACTTTGAGAATATATCTGGGCTATAATTGAGCGTCTTTTGAATTTTATGCAACTAGCTTTATTATTTTTCCCAATATTTAAAATTAGCTTTTGTGTGTCAGCTATCAGAACCAGTGCAGCCATTCCATTGAAATTTTTAGAGCATATGTAAAATGTAATATGGACCTATATATTTTTATTAGGTTCTTCAAATATTTAAAATAAACACTTTAAGTTATATGGCAGCTACCCGAAGCCGTTGGCAGAATTTGTCTAATAATAATACGGTTCGTCCTTAACACAAAAGAAGCAACTTGCAAAAATTTGATCGTTTTCGATTCGCAGAAATCAACGCATAATTTTACACTGAGCAAGAATGTATATAGATACCGGAAATGACTTCTTCTAGTAGTTACAAACTCAATATTTTTGGAATAACCGTGTAAATAAATACAAAAAAGTTTTTTGAAAGACTTATTACTTCAATATTATTAGTTTTCTTGTTTTTGCCTTTGTGTTTCTTCGCATTTCTTTGTTGTTTTATAAAATATTTTAAAATATTTTTCTAATCTCAAAATTATTCTTGCCACAATATATTTTTATGAAAAAAAAAATATAATCATTTGGGACTTAGTAATTCCAGCAAGTCTTTTTATGACATGTGTACAATTAAAAGTTTCAAATTTGTGTTTTACGTTTATAATGCGTATACATTCTGGAATACTGTACAATGTCAAAAACTTTTAATATAAATTTTGGAATATAATACGTTGTAAATTTTACCTTTTCACTGCGTTTTAGAAGCCAAGGAAATTTTATTTATTTAATGTACAAAGGGGAATGAGGATGAAAACTAACGATCCATTCAGTAATGGGAGAAAAAATCAAAATTAATCATTAATATTAAAATAATTTTATTTAAATTTTTTCTTACGAGTTTATAGATATGTTAAAAATTGGTGGGGATGGGAAAGTTATACTCAAAAAAAATGTTGAAGTAATTATGACGTATAGTACTGTATTAAAAGCGAAAATCTTTTAAAGCAATAATGTTATTTTAGTGAGTGAAAAAGTGTCTTATACAATAACTAGGACAACATTTAAATTTTGACTTAAAATTAATAAAAAAATTTTTCTGTGTAACAATATAAATTAGGAAAAACTATGAGGAAAAACAAAAGTAATAATATTACATTTTGCAGGTAGAAATTACATTATAACTTTGTCTGATTAATTTCTTTAACATGTAGAACATTAAAACTAAATTAGTTGTTAAATAAAAATTAAACATGCCGATTATTTTTAATAGGTATATAAAACATTCAACACAAATTTATCAGTTTTTTTATTTTAAAACATGTTTTTTAATTTATTTAAAAAAAATAATTTTTTGCATACTTTTGGGGGAATTAATGTTCTGTTTAGATAAAACATTGAATTAAAATCAAATTAACAGCCTGTACGGAAAATATTAAAAAGCGGATATTTAAGATTTTTTTTTGCAATTTCGAAAATCTTTTAATAAAATCATTTAATTTGCTATATAATTAAGTAATATATATATAATATATTAAGATTCCAATTGAATTCTTAAGTCACCTAAGTTAAGGAATAAAAAAAAGCTGAAGTCATCAAACTTAAGTGTTACAAGTTAATGGAAAAGCTTATTAATTTTAATTTTAAATACTTTAAAATTCGGCATTGACTAATTATAGACAATAATTTTTTATAATTAAATTGTTGTCAACACCTGGTGTATAAAAATCGTATTAAATCATAAAAAAAATCCAAATTATCGATTTTTAAAAGATTTTTCTGTAATTTTTTAAATAAATCCTAATAAATATTTAAAGAATAGTAACAAACAAAATACAGGGTAGTTGTAAATTAATGGAAGTAATAATTTTGAAAATCTTTAATCGTAAGATTCCTAAACATACACATACAATCACATACAATGACGTGTTAATTACATAAAGTTAAAATCATATGAAAGCTAAAGATAGATAAGTAGAATATTTTAAAAAACTAAAATTAAAAAAAAATTAATACTCGTATTTAATTTTTCACTTACTCAAATTCGATTAAGTGTATTTCAATATTTTCCAATTCTTTTTTTTTTTCGAATTTCCAAATTTTCAACAATGAATCATTCATTTGTCCTTACCGCACTAGAACTGTTAATTCAGTTGACATTCTTGTATCATTACTTGTTAGTTGTGGTGAGCTACCCATTTTGTTATTTGTAATTGTTGTTGTATTATTATCCAATAATTTTTGCTCAGCATGGGTTATTTCAGTATTGTTTGTCTGTCTTCGTATCCTACTGGACCCTGTTTTACCATTTATTAGATCAATATTAGAAGTACTCTTACAACGACATAATAATTCTTTAAATTCTTTACGGAAATTTTCATTCAGCCATCCATATAATAAAGGATTCGAACAGGCAGAACTCATTCCGATCATATGACAAAAACCATATCCAATAAGTATTTGTTGTGTTATATGAATTTTCATTAAATCTGCATACAAATTGAAAAAATTTAATGGAAGCCATGATACACAAAATATTACAGCTATACTAATTAATAAACAATTGGTACGTTTCATTCGTCGGCCACGTTCAACTCTTCTTGCTGATTTAATATTAACAGCGCCTACACCAACTGGTACTCGATTTTTTAATTTATAATAAATTCGTATATATGCACCAGATACAATTACAATTGGTAATAAATATTGAAAACTGAATGAAAATGCTGAATAATATACTCGACCATGTTCTAATGGCCAAGCTTCAATACAATATGCAACAGAACCACTAATACCATATGGTTTTAAAATAGCTGGTATATCAGCATGTACAAGCTCACGAAATATATACATTGGTGAAGCTAATATAATAGCGAGTAACCAAATTGTTATTAAAATTAAAATGGCTCCAATAAAATGAAGATTATCTCGTGTTGGATAAACTATAACCTGTAAAAAATTAATAAGTTATAAGGAAATGTTAGTTTCTTAATTTATTTATAATTAATAGTTTTTTAAAAATTTTAATTTGATTTTTTATTAGAGTAATGAATATAAACTAATAATGTAAATGAAAGCCCTTAATAAAAGCTGAATCATAAAAATGAACTTTAATTAAGAAACCTTTGTTACAATTCTTGTTTTAAACAATGATTTTCAAATAAATGCAGTAAGATAAAGTGAATTTTTCAAAAAGCTATAAAAATTTTCAAAACAGTATTTGCTGTACGCATCTCATACATTAAGTCAAGGTAAGTTACGTTACGGTACCAAACACCACTTCGGTGACAGGGAAACTGAAATAAACTACTTTTGAAGAAACGTCGGTATGCCCCTTTGCCTGTCCGTTTATCTGTGGCTGTCATCTGTGGCAAATTTTGGTGAAAATTCATGATGACTGATTTTACATATTTTTGAAAACATTGAACACATTAAACAGATTTTCTTAAAATTTTATATATGAGCTTCATTTAACTGCGCGACAAGCCATTTAAAAAAATAATCGGATATTTTGAGAATATCAAGGTTCAGAAAGCGAACTTTTACTAGGAGCCAATTTCAAATAGCGAAATTTTTTGATATTTAATATTTTTGAATTTTTTTTCTTAACGGAACTAACTGCAGAGCTTCTCAGGATTATCGGTTTTCAGAACGTGAACCTCTGCTGGGTCTATTAACTAGAATGTTACAAGCGTCCTTATAGCTTTGAAATAAGTGCATAAGAGACAGTTTTTTTGGTTATGTTTAAAATTTTTGCTTCCGACAATGCGATCGGTTAAAAAACAACCTTCCAGAACAACCTTTAAAAACTTAAAATCTAATAATTAAAAATTTAAATTCTAGCTTAAAATCTAATAAAATTTTAGTATCTTTATTTTATGTCGTGTTTCTAGACTAAAAATACAGCCAAGATTTTCTTTTTATTCAATGTACTATCGTTTTTTACTCTCAATTCTCTGACATATGTTGCCTGACGTTGACGATTTCATTTTATTATGAAAATTTTTAGGTTTTAGAAAATTTTTTCATAGAAAACCCAAAATAAGGATAGGCAAAAACTATAATTTTTTTTAAAAAAAAAGGATTAGAAATTTGATTTTGCTTAAAATACATTCGCAGTCCGGGCCATGACATTTTTGTTATGTCAAGGTTATACTATACATACATTTTTTTAATCTTCATTGAATTTTTAAATTTATTTATGAACAAAAATCAGAAATTTTATTCAGAACAATTGAATGTTTAATGGCGCTCTTTTTTATGGAATATATTTTTATTCAATTTTTTTTTTTAAATTTTTTTATGATACACTAACCCAAACTCATTATCAAATGGAAATTCTTTGAAATTTTAAGTTTTATCTTTTCCATTTAGAATTGCATTTTATTCTTCGTAGGAAATTGAAAATATAAAATGGAAAATTGATTTAAGCTCAACATAAAGAATATTATGTACATATAAGTACTCAATAAAAATAATTTAAAAAAAAAAGTTATTCTTGAAAACTACAATGTTTTTTCATAATTCAATTTACTAAGAAGCTCTTTCAAAACAATAGTTTCAATATTTTTTTTTAATTCGAATAATTTTCTCTTTCATTTTATTCCAATAGAGTATAATTTTCATTGTGGGTGAGTGAATTTAACAGTAAAATATTAATTTACCAATACATTACCATTTAAATGGTAAATATATGGTAATATATTTAAATGGTAATTTTTGTACAAGTAAATATATGGGTTCAATTTGTTTTAAATTGTAAAATAAATAAAGTTGGGTCAAACCAAAGGTCTATAATTTAGCATTTTTTCCTTCATCAAGTTAAAATACTGCTGTCGAAAACAATTTATGTATAGTTTACCTTATCAAAAATTGCATATTTTTAGAGCGATCAATATTGAATACAATGCAATAAACCAAAAAAATAAATTTAAAATGGCGTTAAAATAGTGCTCAAATGTGAGGGTTAATTAAGTGAATTAAGAAAAAAAAATTATATTTTTTGATGGCACAGCATTTACCGTTATTTTCTGTATTTTTAGAAATTCGGAAAAGCTTACAGTTTCGGAAATATAAAGCGCCAAAAATTCATATTTTACAAAATTTCGAAAAGCGATAACTTGAGAAGGTGTGGAGGGGGAAAATAATTTTTTGCTAACGCAATGAACTATTTGTTAGTCTTTAGAAGCTGCTAATATTTCAGACTCCGGCAACTTAAGGTCTAGAAAAAAAAGAGATAACAAAAATTTAAAAAAAATAAAACGGAAATAAAACGGTGAATTTTAATGACCATTTTCTCTTTTAAAGTGAAGTATTGTATGCCATTGTAGAAGAAGCCAGCCACTATTTTTCTGTGTTTCAAAAATTTGAAAAATGCTTGTGGTTTCACTGCAATAAATCGTTAAAATATTACATTTTTATTGTTTTGGGGCTATAATTTATAGATGAGGGCAGATAGATAAAAATTTTCTTCTACGGAAATAAGTTTCTAGTAAAATTACTACAATAATACTAGGAATCTGAAAGCTCGACGATAGTAAAATATTACACCGTCGAGTAATTCACAAATTTTACTTTTTTGTAGAGTAAATTTTTTACTAGATTATAGAGGAAATTTACTTTACAAAATAGTACAAAAATTACTCTTCGATGAGTAATAATAATCTGAACTACTAATTTTAATTTTCGAAATAGTATTTTGCACTCAGTGATCTATTCCTCCTGTCAAAGGAGCAATTTACTTTACTAAAGTAGAACTTATACTATTTGTTCGAGTAATATTGCATCATTTTTATTTTTCTGTATTTATAGTGGAATTTTAAAGTGTCTTACTGAAATTTTTACTGTAAAAATTTTCGGCACCTGAATATAATAAATTATTAATTTATATAAATGTAACAATACAACAATGTTTTAAATGGCAGCAAGAAATCTTAGGTATTCAATATACTGACTTGATATAATATAATACACTTCCACAAAGTAAATTTTACTCTATTTTGAAGTAATGTTAAACTTGGTATGTTATTATTACTCTCTTTGAGAGTAAAATCATTATACAGCATTAATTTTGCTTGATTTTGTCGTAAATTTACTCTCTAATCGAGTAAACTGCAAAATTACTCTCCAATCGAGTAAAATTTAATATGCTATAGCGTATATACTGCATTAATTGTAGTAAGAATTACAATTGATGCAATTTTGCATCAATTTTTATTAAATACCTTAACAAAAACCTTTTCCTCTTAAATTGCTGCTCTATGAATTTTACATTGTTATAGAAAAGTTAAAAAAAAGGTAGTTTTCAAACAAAAAAAACATGAATTTCCATATTATTTAAAATTCATCTTTAAAAACTACTTCTTGAAAAAAAAAAAAAATAGTGTGAATTTTAAAAAAAAACACCAGATAAGGCTACATAATTTTTGGGAAAAAAATCTTTGTATTCTTGTTGTCTCAATTTCTTAAATCATAAAAATTTGAAAAGGATAAGCGAACATTTGCAAAACAAAAATTTTTTTTTTGGAAAGGAAAGTCCAATATTTCTTCTATGAATGCGAAATTCTTTTATGTTAAACTTTTCATGCTAATTTTTTTTTTTTTTTGATTTAATAACTTTAAGTCAAAAGAGCTCTTAACCTTTACTACCCTTATCAGAAGGAAATCCTCATAATTTTTTTTTCTAAACTTATTAAGGCTTTATAATACCAACAAAATTGTTAAAAATATGAATATGAAATTTTCGAAAATAAAATCGGATCAAACTAAACTTTTGTGAAGTAGCACATTTCTAAGACTAATAACAAGATGCTATAAAATAAAAGATTGTATGAAAATATTTATTATTAATTTTATAAAAATTCATAAAGCATGTTTCAAAGGAAACAGTTGCCGGAAATTAAAATATTCTCAAGATTTTTTTCCCGTTTCTGTGTCCGGTTTCTATGCAAGAGAATGCAACAAAATAGAATTTTTAGAATATAGGATTTTCTTGAGCCCAAACTTTTAAAAGAAACAACATAAGTAACAATTTGCCTATTGGGAAATAAGTTTCCCACAAAGATCTACTTGTGTTCAAAAATACAGCTTTTATGTCAAAGTTCAATGGGCGGACATACTTAATCTAATAAGTACATTTTTTGTAATTTTATTGAAAATTTGTAACAATGGAGTAAATAGAAGAGCAAAATATTAATATAAATGTATTGGAACTATTACAAGTATGAGGAGAAGTTCCTTAAAACATAGAAAATTTTTGGTACAGGTGTACAACTGTTCAGAGTTTTTTAAATTTCGATTTTTTTTTTGGCAAATATTGCGTAACATAATCGATATAATTCTCTGGTCAATTATAATCTTTTTTAAGCATAAAACTAAAACTTTGTTAAATTTTTACTGACCGTGACCGTATTAGCTTAAAAACAAAAATAAGGTTTATTTTCAAGGCTAATTTAGTGGAACGCTTTCTCAATAGAAATATAATTTTTCATTCATGGTAGGTGTAAATTTTGAGCATTTCTAAATTCGTACCTGCAACCTGTTTTCAACAAAGCCTAACATTGTAAACTTTAAAGTTTGGCTGAACTGAAATTTGAAGCTAATGAAATTTATCTTTATTTATATAAAGAATTACAAGTTCTGTCAGCTGCAGCTTTATTACGAATCGATTTTATTTTTTCGATCATATTTAAGAAAATAACAACAATTTTTGAAATCTGTTCAGTTTATCGCAGTGAAAGAAGCAGTCAATTAAATTTTTAGAGAAATCGGCTTTCAGAAATTCAGCTAGATCAACACAATACTATTAATTTTCTATAAGCAGTATACACTAACAGAAAATAGATAATTCTGTCTTGTAAGTGTTGACTTCATCACATTGGTTTTAATGCATGTTGTAAAGCTTTAGTAAACTTTTCGGAAAAATTAAAAAATAAAAGTATTTTGTTTTA